CCTGCAGCAAGAACTTACATGGTATCTTAATTATCAGGATTTTGTGTTCTCAACAGGAGAGAACTTTGTAGCAGATAAAATAGTACCAGAGAGGAAAACTAAGCAGGAAAAACAGGAGCAGCTGAGGAGGAGGGGAGACTGCAGTCCCGGGGTGCGATAAGCACGTGCAGTGCCTGTGTCGGGTGCAGGAGCTGCCGGCACTTCTCTGCAACTTGTTTACTGCTCGGGCCTTTATCGTTTCCTAATTTTGGCATTTATCGTCAGCCACAGCAGCGGTGAGTCCTGCCCATTAACAGTTTGGCTCTCATTTTCCCAGGTGACGCAGTACCTGCTGGACCAGTCGTTTGTGATGGACGAAGAAACCCTTTACGAAGCTTCTCTGCGAATAGAGCCCAAACTGCCTTCTTGAGCCCGGAGCAGTGGCCGGCGGCTGCTCGTGTACACAGGCTATACCATACTGTATATAGCTGTTCGTTTCTCTTGGACGCCCTGGAGTGACTTCCACGTATGTGCTTCTCCAAGCAAACCGCCCCCCCCCTCGTTCTTAGGCCGCAGTAGACCTCGCGTAGGATTTCCCGCATCGTTTAAGGTTTCACGCATCGACACTTTGCTGGAGTCCCGGTTTCTTTTCGATGATGTTATTTTTGTCATTTGTTCTTCTCGAGGGGACTGGCGGTCGGGCAGGCGGAGCCCCGTGTCCCCGCGGGGCTCTCGGGCAGCGGGGAGCCGCTCTCGCTGGGACTTTATGGGCAGTGCCATCCCCGGGCAAACTCTGTAAGGCGGGGGAAGAGAAGACGGTGAAGTTTATCCCTCCGTGCGACGCTGCCCTCTCTCTGTGTGCCACCCCCCCACGCTGGCCTGGCGCCGGGGGGGCCCCTCGGCCGCTGCCCCCGGTCCCTCCTCAGTCGGGAAGATGGAAACGTCCCTTTGCCTCTCCTCGCTGCATACGGCTCATGACAAGCTTCTGTTGATATGCTGTAGATCCGTATACCTTGTGACCACTATGAGTAACATGATGTAGAATTAGAAAAAGATGACCGAGTGTTTTTATTACATATACTGTAATCCTGTCTAACCACCTGCTAGCAGGAATATAGTAATGTAGTGCTTATTCTGTGAATATTACCATGTATTTTTTACATTGTACAGTATATAAACACAGTTTAACTATACAGTGGCAGGCATGCTCCACTCTAACAACCAGAACACTTTTGCTGTAAGCAATACCTCGTGGTATGAGAATTCTCTTTCAAGCCCTAAAACGGTTTCAACTTACAGCTTGTTTGGGAAAAAAAAAGAAAAAAATAATTTCTTTTTTTTTTTTTTTTTGTAAAAATATATGTTTCCTGATTACCTCTTGCTAATAAATCTATTCTATCTCAGGGTGAACCGGGACTTGGCATGTTTTTATCGGCGGCTCAACGCCGCACCCCCCACACCTATTTCCCGCCCCCGGAGGGAGGGACGCCCCGCCCACTGCCCCGCCCCTCGGTGACC